TTCCTTATTTCTACTACCATTCGATTGTGCGCTAGCTTCAGATTCTTTTGGAGCATAAATTAATTAATTATCTTGAGTTCGAATAAAATTCGATTAATTCACAACTCGATTCTGTCGGGAGTACTTAGTTTTATATTGGGCTTTACGGCACAGAATAGAGCTGTAATCAATGATTAAACTAACTACTCTTTAACGAGACAAATTTTCACAATTCGGGAGTGTTTTCCTTTATTGTGGTGTGGCTTTAAGGACTTCAGTCAAAAGTATACATTAAATGCTTTATTTTATTCTCCATTAACCCATTTACATATTTACCACAACTTTACACGCGCAGACTTCGTTTTGCCAACACCATTAGTGCTCCATGGCAAAATTCATGATCGCTTTGTCATTTGTATGTCTGTTTGTCACAAACGTTATTTTCAAAGATTTGATAATGATACGTTGAATCAGTAAATTTTGTACAATATAAATATTAAATTTAATGAATAGTAAATTTAGGTTTACCTCGATAGCTTTAAGCTATAAGCCGTGGTAGCTCAGATGGTTAGCGCTCGCTGTAAGCTTCACAGCACTCGAGCAACCCTGGTTCGATCCCCGCTGGCACCAATGAAATTGTTATTTGCAATTTTAATTGCTGATTGACCACGTGCTCGACGGTGAAGGAAAACATCGTGAGGAAACCTGCATGTACGAGAAATAAGAAAAAAAAATATTTCGAAGACATGTGAAGTTCGCCAACACGCATTGGGGCAGCGCGGCGGACATTTCCTTGCCCTAAAACCCTCTCAGGAATGAGAGGGGGCCTGTGCCCAGCAGTGGGACGTAAATAGGCTGCAACTTTACTTTTTAATTTACTTTACTATAGCTTTAGCTATACTTTAAATTAACTTTTGGGTAAAGTCCAAATAATTTGTATATTATACATGTGTTTTTGATAGGACTAATAATAAACAGAAAGCAACCAGCTACATCTAGTTAGAGTGGTAGTGAATATATACTGTAGTAGTCGGCGTCACCCTTATAGCTGAATAAAGAAAACATATTATTCGTCCTGTTACGCCAAAAATCCTTCTAAATTTATTAGTACATACATAAAATAATTAACTTGGTCTAAGGAAAATGTGGAAATAAAATTCTACTATACTTACTATACTTGCTGGTAAAAGTGAAAGTGCTACGTCTTATTTATATTACATCTCCTCCTTCCTGACACAAGTCCTGGGAACTAGTTTAATAAACTGCATTAGCTTTTACTTAAACTAAACGCTTCTACGATGAAATAGCTAATCTACTATGTACTAACATGTGTCAGAATCAGAATATAGGACGGTGATCTTAAAGTAATAACATAGTGGTGATTAACTCATAGATAATACACATAATTATTGTTTATACTACATATTGTATTTTGACTGTGGTCACGTTACGTTGCTGCATAAATCTACGTTCTACGAATATTAACGAATACCAATGTGCTGAGACCTGAGATCTATGCTGCAACGTGATGTGACAACATGAAGTTATAGATAAAGATGGAGGCCACACTTGGAACAACAGCTTTAGTCAAATACCTACGTATCTTTATCTCACTCTCTGTGGTCTGACTTCTCTTTTTAGTGTGGAACACAATATTGCTATGTTTTGATTTGAATCTCCCGGTAAATTCTTAGAAATAATTTCCACACTAACTAAATCAGAAGTTAAGCTTTGTAAAATAATGTATCAACAAATAATTAGTTGATCTACGATTAGTTACATTAAAAATTCCAAATTTGAAGGTCTCGTATGCATTATTGGGTTCACGAATCAGTGTATTACAATCCCATTTCCTAAGGATTCGGTAATGTGGCAACATTAGCCCTATATGTCAACATAAATTAGACAAATATGGCGGTTGTTTACTTAGCAGTTCACAGCGTCGTTTGAGATATTTAAAGTTAATTATTGTTATAATTCAAGAAATGGTGCAAATTTGTGTAGTACGTGGTTGCGACAGTAGTTGGTGTCCAGGAGGTGATATAAGATTTCACACGTAAATGTTTAAATAGTGACTTCTGACATTGAATACTTGTAAACATACTTTTTGTATTTTCACTTAATTTTTTGCTGAAACGTTTTATCAGTGTTTTAAACATATTAGTAAATTATAACTTTGTCAAAATCAAATAGTTTTACATTGAATTTAATTAAGTTTGAACAATTTTATTGTTTTTGTTTAAAAGAAATCGCACTGAAGTAGTGTGACCATATTGATGATGTATCTGAGACTTTCCGTGTGACCTTAACTAATTATATGTACATGTTTCTTATTATGTTACCGGAAATGCATGAAATTTAGGAATTATGTACACTTCCTATATATTCTATATAATGACGGATTTCATAGATTTCATAATATTAAATTAAAAATGAGTAACATAATATATTCTTTTGGTAGACAATTTATTTTTATTTAGTTTTTGTTTCTCATTATTCTGATACTTTAATAACGTTTATAATAATTATGTATTTAGAAATGTAGTAGTTTAGATGTATGATATAAAGCAACATTTTGTAAAATATGTTATTATTTGCAGACAATAAGTGCATTACATAAAGAGTCTATTGTGCAAATAGCTGATCTGGCTGTACCAAGCACTAGTTCTGGCATTTATGAAAGTAGTTCTACACTTACGAAAACAGAAGTAAAATATACTGGCTGTAATATTGAAGACCAAACTAGTAAAAAACAATGTCGAAAAATTCTTGAAAATTTATGCAATCTTAACAAATTACCTGTAAGTGTTCTTTTCCTTTATAATACATACCTTTTATTTGTATTTATTATGACTTTAATATTACATTACATAATGTATTATATAGCTCAAAACACATACATATTTAAACTCTTTAGTGCCAATCGCAGTGTGGTAACTACTACGACACTAAGCATAAAGCTTCTTGTTTGATGCTTTATTTATGCGTGCTCATGAAGGCGCGCTCCGGTGTATTATATGTTACCTATTAAGTGATGTAAATTTGTACTGACATTATGATGTAGAAGAGTTATTTGTTTTTTTTTTTGTTAGAGTTCTCCAATCTCTGGAACTATACCAGTCTGATTTGAAAACATTTTCTTGCATTTTTAAAACCAATTCTTCAGGAAGTCTATCTAACATCACGCTACGACCCTGTACCCCTACGACGATGTACGATGCTAAAAATACTGATTTCATAAAGTTTTCTTGTTTTCTTAGGTCAGCAGTGAATACGACGATCCCGCGAAGATTGATAGGGGCGTGCAAGTGAAAATAAAGTGTACTAAAGAAGAAATACTTGAGATGAAAACTAAGATTCTTAAGCAAAAAGTGGCGCGCCAAACTAAAAAATTCAGGATAGGTCTTCTTTAATGGACACTATTAAAAAGTATACGGGTCAGTCAGAAATTGAAAATATTATTCAAGGGCGCTTTGCTCATATCTGTAAGGACTTCAAAAAGCCACAGAGTAATCCACATGGTGTGGAAAATTCAATAAATAATTTTAATATGGGAAATTAAAAATATTATTCAAGGGCGCTTTGCTCATATCTGTAAGGACTTCAAAAAGCCACAGAATAATCCACATGGTGTGAAAAATTCGATAAATAATTTTAACATGGGAAATTGAAAATATTATTCAAGGGCGCTGTGCTCATATCTGTAAGGACTTCAAAAAGCCACAGAATAATCCACATGGTGTGAAAAATTCGATAAATAATTTTAACATGGGAAATTGAAAATATTATTCAAGGGCGCTTTGCTCATATCTGTAAGGACTTCAAAAAGCCACAGAGTGATCCACATGGTGTGAAAAATTCAATAAATAATTTTAATATGGAAAGTGTTTTTATTTATTTTTTTAAGGTTTTTAACAAACCATGTAGTGGTGGTGTGAGAATATCCACTACCCTATATCGTTCCGAGGGTGTTGTAAGAGGTGTCAGAGGGAAAATGAAACAGTAGATGGGCAGCGGCATTTTCCTGATAACAACTCAAAATAATAATATATTATCGTTCCTATTATAGTACATATGTTATTAGAAATCTATGAAATCCGTTATTATATAGAATTCCTAGGAATTGTAGATAATTCTTAAAATGAACTGGATGTGTGGAATATAGTATTATACACATTTCAGCTCAGAGCAGCCTGACTCGGATGGGTTAGGTCAGAAGGCTAAGGCAGGAGCTCCGCTACGCTGCTTTAGTCCTCGTGATATTTTTTTTAAATAATTGTCCAGAAATAGATTTAGTCTGTCTGAACAATAAATCAGGTATATTTTACCAAATTCATTGACCACCCGGGGTTATAATAAATTTTAATTTTATATTTCGTTGGTATCGTTTAGGAATTGTATACAATAACCAGAAAATACATTATCGAAATGGTAGTTATAAAATATTCTCTGATATATTTATTTTCGATATTTTCTAAATAGGCTCGGCATTATATGGGTTGTGACGGAAATGCGTGGTCATATTTTAATACCGGTTCTACCCATGGAAATGAAAACCTTTCTTCATAAAACTAGTCAATTCCCAAAAAAAATTGTACAAAAATATATAATCTATATAGACTAGGTCTTAGTAGTAAACAGAGATATAGATATTTATAAATAAAACACTTAATGTAACTCAACTACTTATAGCGATATCCTGGGAAAAATAAAATAAAGGTTACCTACTTAGAAAGGGAGGGCCTGCCCACAGAGAGCGAGATAGTAATACATAGGTTAAGCTTCAAGTAGGTATTCGGAGTGTGGTCTCCATCTTTATCTATAACTTCATGTGTGACAACACACAACAGACTAAAAATACAGAGTCTACCGAGTTGTGAACGTGACAGACTACTCATTTAAATTTTTAGTCTATGACATAAAATGACATTGACGTTAATGACGTTATATCCTTCACCCGTCACCGTCACCTTTCAGTTTTCTTTCTCTTTCGTTTTATATCATTTTCGTATACGTCAAATATGGAGGAGGATCGCCTTTTTGACGAAAGAATTTCTATCCGAGATTCTGCTCGCCCTTTGAAAAAATATGGTAGTACATGTAATCATATGAAAAGGAACGAGGAGTATATTAAGCATGTTATGTCCAAAGGTGATACTTTGCAAGGAATCGCTCTTAAATATGGCGTTACAGTAAGTAACTCAATATACAAGTTAAATATTTTGAACCCTTGGGAGGATAAATATTAAAAATGCTAAGTTGCCATTGTTTCAGATGGAAAAAATACGACGTGCGAATCGTCTTTTTGCAACCGATAGTTTGTTTTTAAGAGAGTATTTACTTATTCCGGTGACCAAAGATTCTCCCTTTTATGAAAATGGTGAGCGAGTTACGGAGCCTTCGATGCCGTTGCATCGGGCCTCTATGTCTGATATGTCGCGACACTCCCGAGACTTTTCTCCTGGAAGTCCTGATGAAAAGAAAAGTTTTGATAACTTTCTTAGTAGACTGGATTCATCACTAGCTGATATTAAGAAACATGTAGAAAAGAGCAAAGAAACAAGCGAGTGAGTAATTTTTTCGTATTATTACCATTTAGAGATGCTTTGATTTCAGCCTATTTAATAAAAATAAATTTACCTATATGAGTTGATGAGGCGATAATTAGGTGATCGCCAACATGCTGGTTCTTTTCAAATTTATTTAAAAACAGTCCCCATTGGGATTGCTCAATTTAGTTCCCAGTCCTATAGCGAATAGTTCGCTTTATTATTGTCGGCTAGCAATATTTCTTATATGTTGTGAATTGTAACCTAATAAAACTTTAACCATAGACTGCAAATTATATACTTTAATAAGAAACTGTTGTAAGTGTGGTAAGAGTAAAAATAAATCAGTCGGTTAGCCATGCAGAGCCATTAAGAAAATGTGAGATCCTTTCTATAACAAGTTTTAATAATCTTTGTTTTAAGCTTTTCAGAATCAGATTTTCAGTAGTTAATTTTGCAATAATATTTTTGCAAACACTAAATTTCTTTAAATTATTATTAACTCACAATGTTTTGATGTTTCAAGTGCTTTGTAGCACCTATGGTCACATGTCAAGTCTCTCTGTCTGGTCTGTGATCTTGTCCCAGACATCCTCTGTAATTATATTGCATCCAATTGGATAGACCACAAATCCCTGGGTAACTTATTAAAAATTTAAAAACTCCCCGAAACAAAAAGAGCTGATGATCTATTACATAATACTTATTAAAAGTCTTTTTTTATTTACAACTGGTTCGGAAAATACCTCTGCCTTTCCATCTAAGAACACTCAATTAAAACACCAAATGAAAGAAAAACTTAATCAAAATAAGTTCATCTGTTCAGGAGCTATGATGCCACTAACAGACACACAAATACCCATATACACACTACAAACATGTACACCCGTCTATACCAAGAATGATTTGTGAAACTGTTGAAATTAAAAAAGAGCTTAATTTAAATTGCAAATGAGTACCATGTATCCTGTTATTAATAAAATTTTATTCAAATCCAACCAATGACATTTTGAGGGGCCTATGAGTGAGAATGAGGTGTTTAAATTCCAGCATTGGGGCATTCAACACCTCATTTCCCCCGATGATAATATCCATAAAAATTAGTTTTATGCAATGCTATATTTTGAAATAAAAGAAGACACATGTTTGTTACAAATTTTTATGCCAGTTTCCTAATTATGCAAATATCAGCCAGTCTGTGTTAATTGCGTTATCAGATATTAAAGTCAACAATATTACACCTTTTAAAAATAGTGCACGTACTTTATCTCTACTGATAAAGTATAAAAGGTAAATAAATGTGTAGTCTCTTGATACTCTTGTTTACTAAGACTGATAAATAATTTTATGTATGAAAGTCACATTTTAAATATATTATGAACTTAATATGTATGGATGTAGAGTGTGGTAATAATAGCGCATGACTTTTGTCCTCTGTATGTTGTAACAGTACAGATAATGTTGAAATTGTTGCGTGTTTTAGGGTTATATGTAATTTTTATACTAACAAATTAATTTGATTGAATATTAAGCTATGGTGGTTGGTAAAAGAAATGAAAACAAAAAATACCAGAGATATAATATTACCAAGTTTAAAGAACACTTAATTTCTTCTTTTAAATTATTCAAAATTTAGCTTTTCGGTATATTTTTCATAATTTCTATGTCTTGTATTGGCTCGAATGGGATTTGATTTCTAAAAATATGGTAGTTAGTAGAATTGGTTTTAAAATAATAATTTTGGTCACACTTTTTGCTGTTATAATTTAAAATTTCAAAAATACATTGAAATTTAATTGTTCAACCTTAAAGCTTTACTTGGCGTTAGAATGAAAACTGATTTTCTCGCAGATAACACTCACCTAGATAAAGTTATATAGTAAACCATGCATCTAAACACATAAATACATCAAGATCGTTAGAGACTTTGCAGGATGGTGTTTCCACCATGGATTACACCATTCCTGTATTATACTGTGGTTATTATATGAGAAAATGGTGCTGCCCATCTCCTGGTTCAGTTTCCCTTTGTCACCTCTTACGACACTGGGGTGATATATATGATATTTTATTACTTGGAATCATAAGTGATTTTTGGGGGTTACGGGCTCGTATCCCGCACCTATTAAGTATTTGTATGGTGTACAAGCAATTGTACCGGGTCTGAATGTTTGTCCATTTGAAATTTATGTATATAAGTTGCATATACGTTATAGGACAAAATCCTAGTGTGGGGTTATTTTTAAAAACTAAAAATCTATTTATTGTGTGCCGGTGATGACCATTGTGTATCTGAACCTCAGATTTTGGTAGCCTGCTTTATCTTATCATACGGCTAAGTTATTTATGAGTCCTACATGTGGAGCCCTGGCCATTGTTTTACATGTGACAGTAGACCTGGATGGTGAAAATTGCACCGATAGGAAGGTACTGCTTGTTCTCTTTCATATAAAAAGGTTACATACAGTTTTGAGACCTTGGGTAGTGCAAATAACTTTAGCACTGACAGGCCAATAGGCTAGACTGTCCATATGTAAACCATTGCATTAAAGTGCTTAAGACTGTAAACAAATAAAAGATACCAATTAGATACTAACATTAATTATGAAGTATCAATTGATTAACAAAATACAAGTCCTGATACTTTGTTTGTAATTATATTCTATTTATCCACTACTGCCTATAAAAGTATGAACTAGGCCATAGATTGCCTCATAGGGGGGATTTTGCCATAGTTGCCATGCTTGGCATGCTGGTTGGTAACTGCAGTTTTTTCGAGTACTTATCACGAAAATGCTGCTGCCCATCTCCTGTTTCGGTTTCCCTCTGGACACCCACGGGACGAAATGGAGTAGCGGATATCCTAACACCGCCAATACATGGTGTAATTATATTATAATTAAATTATTTAATTGCTATGCCCGCTCTTGTATAATATCATGAGTATAATAAACATTCTATATTAAGGGCTGATTTTTGAATTCTCAGATAATAGTTTGAAATTTCATGTAAAAAAATTGTCGAATAGATTATAACCTGATTGATAGAATATATTATTATACCATGTAGTGGCAGTGTGAGAATATACCCCATATTATCCCATGGGTGTCGTAAGATGCGAGAAAGGGGGAAACAAATCAGAAGGGCATGGCGACGTCTTCCTAATAACGACTTAAAGTAAAAAACTGCGGTTGTCAATTTGCCAATGCCTGTGCCAGTGCCTGACTGCAATGCCAAGTGTGGCAACTATGGCAAATATCACCCCTATTAGACGATCTAAGGGGGAGGCCCATGTTAAGCAATGAACTTTAATAATAAATAATTAGAATATAAAAGTGAGACAATATTTGAAAAACTGTAATTTTTTATTTGTTTAAAATGTTGTATTTTATTCTATGAATACATTTCATTAAAGGATTGAAAAATTGGCCCTTAGTGTAATAATCCTTAACTTGTCTAATGTTGTGTTGTATGCAATATACTACATATATTGTGTGTATTGTTTTCAGAATGTAATCAATTAAATTTTTTCAACATCTTAACTCTGCTCAGCTGCTCACAAGGTCATAAGTGTTAGTGTTTTACCACTTTCTATGTGTCGTTTGAGATTGTGTGATAAAAGCTAAGCGTTTTACTTAATTTCCGCAATGAGTAATGGACCGTTATTTAAACCTTTGCATGTTGCCTCTTTCCTGTGTTCGTTGGTATTGCCAATGCTGACATATGGATTTGAGATGTGAAGTACAGCTAGCTAGTCTTGAGTATCATCATACGGCTGAGCAATGCAGGACTGCTAGCCTTATGAGGAAGCTGGAGGTTGCTCGGACAGTTAGTGACTATCAGTATAAATCTTTAAAAACAATAAAAAATTAAATTTCTTGCCTATATACGTCCAACTGCCGAGCACAGCTGTTCTCTCATTTCGGAGAGTTAAAGCAGAGTACAAGTCCGCCGCGCTATCCAATGTCTTAAAGATTTTCTCGAGATGTTTTCTTTCTCTCTGGGTGGTAATTCTTGTTATAATGTTTATTGAAACCTATGTATTTCACTGGCTTGTACGTACTTTAATATAAGAGGCTTATCTCTTTATGGTTGTTTTTAGATTAATCATAAAATTATCTTTCAAAATAAAGTTATATCATTATGCTTGGGATAGTTGGGGTTGCTTTGTGGTGGCGACGTAAGAATATCCACCATCCCATTTCGCCTGTGGGTGTCGTAAGTGGTGGCTATGAGAAATACCAGAAAAAGCTCATGGCTACGGCGTGATCGCGGAGCAGGAAGAATTTAAAATAATTGCAATTCATACAAATGTGAACTTTAATGACTGGAGAATAAACTCGATTTTCTCTGTTTCTCGGTTTAATACGAATGTAGTATCATAGACACGTGAGGAAACAAAACATCCAGCACAAAGATCAGCCATTCATGTTTTAATATCGTTCCTTCTGACCACTAGGCCGTGTCGTGGTGGCGTACGAGAATCTAATATGAATGCAAATGAATGAATGAACCACCTCTAGGCGGCGCGGTTGTTGAGTTTATTATGGTCATATCGAGAGCCAGAAGATGGGAAAAAGGATAAATTTGTATTAGGTCTGTAATACTCAATACCTTTAAAATTATTGTTTTATAAACAAACTTTCAAACAGTTTTTAATGAATAATATTAATATGTTCAATTAATTGATAATTGATGTATCCATTATTAACAAGCAACCCTTATCGACAATGGATCTTCTGCCATTTTAATAGAAGTTGATAATGCATCTGTTATAGATATCCCGAGTACGGGAATCTATGAATTCTTTAGCTACATCATGGTAGTAGATGTAGTTAAATAGACACAATGGTGTTTAATATGTTATAGTTATAGATGTTCTGATCACGATAAGGCATGGTTTCGAATCAGCGGGTGGTGTACCCAGCAAAACCTGACACAGAACGCAAATATATGTAAAAATGCGGTCGATGTTGCTGCTCTTGTATCTGGCTCTATGACCACGAATGTATTTGGTA